TTCCCTCTAGTATACAAGCGCCTTGTGATTACCTATACAATTTCAACAATTAAGTGTGTGTCATTAGAATATATTTTAGAATTTTTGAAAAAGTGAATAACATGAAAAATTAAAGGATAGTGGAAGACAGATATTTCAGTGTCGCGGTCAAGTGTCAAACCCATAGTGTAGTGTAGTGTAGTGTAGTGTAGTGTAGTGTAGTGTAGTCAAACCCATACATCAGTGATACATAGAGCACTACAGTAGCGTGGACCAGCATGCAAGTGTATTTTATTAAACAAAATACCCGAGGTTAACGGAAATAAATAATTTTTACTTAAATAAATTACAAAAGTTCGGAAATTCCCTCAGCCCTCACTGCCGCTAATTTATCTGAGTGATAAAAACATTGTCCTTTGCTTTAAGTATTGTGCTATAGTGTTTGAATTAATTCATTCGTAAATTCCGAACAATGTCTTATATTAAATCATACGGAATTTTTATATTTATAACGAAATTGAATTAATTGTGCGTGGTTTTTATTCTCTTTAAATTTGTTTGTGACATGGGTAAATTCAATACAAATTGGCTTAAATTCAGTATAGTTCCTTCTTGGGAAAAGTAATAATCATACCTGGTTGATGGGGTTCTGGGAGTTCTTCTACTCCCCAAGCCCGGCCCGAGGCCAGGCTTGACGAGTAGAAGAACTCCCAGACTTGTGAGAGTTTGGTCCACTAGGCTGTTGCTTGGAGCGGCCCGCAGGCCCACATACCCACCACAGCCCGGTTGGTCCGGCACTCCTTGGAGGAATAAATGACAAGCGTGCCATGAGATTTCTCAGGAAACTGGGTTCTAGACATTCTCAGCGACCCTAAGGGCTTTCAGTTGGCCGTTTCAGCACCTCCTTGAGGCGGTCCAAAGGGAAAACTCCTGCAGTATCCTTCATTCCCCGCTATGGAAGTCAAAGAGTTCAGTCACAACCGTTACCACTCTGACTTAAATGATGTAACTAATTCTTTAACAATAGCAAATTCTTAATCAAATTACCTAAGAGCCTAACAACATTCTGCCAACAACAATAGTTCATTATAATAAACATAAATATGTCTGATGTTTAACAAAGACTCGATATTAATTTTGCAGTAGGGCCCTGGTTAAATATATATATATTAAGTATACAGTATATGATGCTGTCGAGTACTGCTCGAGGCAACGTTTGAAAGTTGCATTATGATGTTAAATATTTAAAATGTATAAGTAGTCAGGAATGGCATTTTTATTTTTGAGATTGAAGCAGGCAAGGGAACTGGTACGGAAATCTGGTACGAGAACTGGAAAGGGTATTCAATACCATGCTTTATCGAGAGTAAGATCTTCAACAGAACAAGAAATCTTCCGTTTGTCCAGGAAAAAAATATCATAATCTCTTTACGTCCAACCCTGGAAACACGAACCGTAACTGTCCCTATTTTCCGCTTGTTACAACGTGTAATAAAGTTGTTACATCTTGGCTTAACGTGTTTATGACGTATTGGAACGTTGTTATAACTTGCTATATTGGTTGTTATAACTGGTTAGATGTTAAAACTTGTTCGAACGTTGTACCAACGTCGTAGTTTCGGTGTGTGTTTGGCGGGAAATCCCCCAATAATTACCAGGTACACACAGGTAGGATGTGGTGAGTGGTTTATGGGATTAATGCGATGGGTCATCCCAACACACCCAACTTCGAATCCCGGCCCTGTCTTCCGTGATATGAGTGTGCTACCCTCATCTGTATTGGGATGTAGCTTTAGATTAAGCCCTGTAACTGATTAGGTAATGTAGAACCATAGTCTCGATACATCATTGTTGTTTTATATCCATGACTTCAATGTCTGCTGGGGCGTCCACAGGGCCGCCATGAGGATAGCATACGATGACGAACGCTCCTTCTCTTTTCTCTTATATCTCAAAATTACCGATATATAGTAATGTTGATATGTTATTTTAGTGTGCTGACAAATATACACCCAGCTACATGATATATAACTCATTCAACCTTCTCTCTCTCTCTCTCTCTCACTCACTCACACACACACACATACAGGGTTTGCGTGTGTGTTAACAGGGTGGACAAAGACAAACTCTTTAGCACCGGTGGAACATGAACAACGGGACACAGGTTCAAATTTAATAGGCAAATGAGCCACAGAGACATTAGCAAGAATTGTTTCAGTGTCAGAGTAGTTAACAAATGGAATGCATTAAGTAGTGATGTGGTGGAAGCAGACCCCATACATAGTTTCAAATGTTGATCTGAAAGAGCGCAGTAGGCTCAGGAATCTGTACACCAGTTGATTGACAATTGAGAGGCGGGACCAAAGAGCCGAAGCTCATCTCCCGCAAGCACAACAAGGTGAGTAAACACACCCACGTACTCAAAATAAAGATGGAAACAAAAGAAAATCTCTGTCAATAAACTTTACTACTCGTAACAGGCTCTATAAAGACAGATTACTCACTGATGTTTATAAATGTGCTGAGGGCTGGGAAAGCCTGTCGGCGAGTGAACCCCTTGGGGGTGTGTGGGTGGAGGAGTGGGCAGCAGGGTGTATGGCCGGGTTGAGCTGTCGTAGGAAGTACTGGAGGGTGGAGGAGTAGATGGTAGGGTGTTTGTGTGGGCGGAGGGGAGGGTGGAATGGTTTCTGGGATGCCCGAATGGATTCAAGGGACAAGAGGGATATCTGAAGTTGTTCGGTGGATGTCGAGGACGGGAGAAAGACCATGGAGGATATCTAGGGGTGGGTGGAGGGCGGGAGGCAGGGAGTCTGGGTGGGTGGAGGGCGGGAGTCTGGGTGGGTGGAGGGCGGGAGGCAGGGAGTCTGGGTGGGTGGAGGGCGGGAGTCTGGGTGGGTGGAGGGCGGGAGTCAGGGAGTCTGGGTGGGTGGAGGGCGGGAGTCTGGGAGTCTGGGTGGGTGGAGGGCGGGAGTCTGGGTGGGTGGAGGGCGGGAGTCTGGGTCTGGGTGGAGGGCCTGGGAGTCTGGGTGGGTGGAGGGCCGAGGGGTGAGAGTGGGGTGGACAAGAGAAGCACGACTAAAAGCTGATGTGTGTCATATTGCAGCGGGGGAAAGGTTCCACCAGCTGCCTCTCTCTCTATCTCTACTGTATTTCACACACACACACACACACACACACACACACACACACACACACACACACACACACACACACACACACACACACACACACACACAACCTCGTAGCCTGGTGGATAGCGCGCAGGACTCGTAATTCTGTGGCGCGGGTTCGATTCCCGCACGAGGCAGAAACAAATGGGCAAAGTTTCTTTCACCCTGAATGCCCCTGTTACCTAGCAGTAAATAGGTACCTGGGAGTTAGTCAGCTGTCACGGGCTGCTTCCTGGGGTGTGTGTGTGTGGTGTGGGGGAAAAAAAAGTAGTTAGTAAACAGTTGAGAGGCGGGCCGAAAGAGCAAAGCTCAACCCCCGCAAACACAACTAGGTGAATACACACACACACACACACACACACACACACACACACACACACACACACACACACACACACACACACACACTACATTTACACAAACACAGCCATTCAATGCCTACGTCCCACTCAGTTCCATATAATGCCAAAGAATAACCTTAAAAAAATCCATAAAAATTTAAAAAATGAGAAAATCATGAATTTGACAAGATTGAAATTCCACTGGAGAGGTTTTCATAAAGGCGCGTCCAACCCCCCACACGACATAAAAGAAACTCTTGGGGGTTGAGTTTGGCTTATCCAATATGTCGGAATTTTTCTCATACGGTTATTGCATTACTTAAAAAAATATGCATTATATAGAAAATGTCCATTTCAGTTCCCTGTCATTTCTTGCGCGAGAACCACTTTTAGAACGGCGGAGAACAGCAATAAATGAATTTTCGGGGATTAACCATTTATCATAAACAGAGATCTCATAAAGTATTACATATATTAACATTTTCTGTAATATTTTCAGGCACCAGAATTTATTTTTTTATATCATTTCTGATTAGCTGGAGGAATAGATAACAGAAACTATGTTTTTTAAATAATATTTTTTTAAATAATAATAATAACTTAACCAACTAATCTATCTGAGAGTCATATGGCCATATTAACTATCAAGATAAGGGGTTTAGTCAGAGACTTTACACTTTCCTCAGTTTCGCTTAGTCTCTGCAACAATTATCAAATATTTAAATCATAATGAATTCTTGGACTTGCTGTGAGTAAAATGTTATCATAGGAGGCCGATTGGACGGACTTAAGTCTCACCACCACACTCAATATGGCTGTCTCTGTATACAATGGCTGCTTCCTCTCCCTCCTCTGCTCCAGAGGTTGCTTACATTCGAGATTCGAGAGGAAGAATGGGTTTGAGGTCAAATCTATTTACTATATATTTAATTTAATAGATTCATTGTAATGTGTAACCAGCCCTGAGACAAGAGGATGTTTAGTGTGCAGACGAGGAGTCACAATAACGTGGCTGAAATATGTTGACCAAACCACACTCTAGAAAGTGAAGGGACGACGACGTTTCGGTCCGTCCTGGACCATTCTCAAGTCGATTGTGTGAATGGTCAATCGACTTGAGAATGGTCGAGGACGGAGTGAAACGTCGTCGTCCCTTCACTTTCTAGAGTGTGGTTTGGTAAAATTTTTTTAGCGTAACAATAGTTAGATGAATATTGTGACGAGAGCTGATCGTAGCAACCTTTCCCATTCTCTGTAACTTTAATATGACTAACTAATGTAAATTAACCACATCTAAAGGCTCTTACATTAGAGTTTGTAAATCTGATGTGCAAATTTTCCCACAAGGAGTCAGGGTTGTGAGTAGCTTACACCTGACGTAGGTACAGGAGTCAGGGTTGTGAGTAGCTTACACCTGACGTAGGTACAGGAGTCAGGGTTGTGAGTAGCTTATACCTGACGTAGATACAGGAGTCAGGTGTAGCTAACATATGGTGTTTTATCTCCACAGAGAAGCCGTACTTCCTGGAGCCCATCAGTAACGTGACAGTACCTGCAGGGAGGGACGTCCGCCTGGCCTGTGTTGTCGACCACCTCGGCTCTTATAAGGTATTATTAAGCTTTTTCTCTCATGCTACTTCAAGTTGTCACATTCTCAGACTCACTCACTCTCTCTCTCTCTCTCTCTCTCACTCTCACCTGGGCTGGACGCTAGAGCGACGGGCTCGCTTCATGCTGGTCGGCGTTCAATCTCCGACCGTCCAAGTGGTTGGGCACCATTCCTCCCGTCCCATCCCAAATCCTTATCCCGACCCCTTGCAAGTGCTATATAGTCATAATGGTTTGGCTCTTCTGATACTTCCCTTCCCTTCAGAGCTGGGCGAGGTGATGGATTATAGGGATTATCCAGACCCACCTACAGTAACCAGGAATTATCCAGACCCACCTACAGTGACCAGAGATTATGCAGACATACCTACAGTAACCAGGGATTATCCAGACCCACCTACAGTAACCAGGGATTATCCAGACCCACCTACAGTATCCAGGATGTGGCTATACTCTCAGCGAGATAGGCCAGGATGTGGCTATACTGGTCCAATAGCCACCAAAGTTATCAATATGCGGAAAGAACTAAATATAGCAAGATATCAAGATACAGTATTTGTTATCAATCTTATGATGTGACTGAAGCTTTAACATGATAACATAAGCAACAGTGTATCAGTTGAACTGTTAGAACAATTGAACACCACTAGTTCCATTGCGAAGAACATACGTAACCGAACACGTGACTCTATATGGATTCCATGAACATCCACTCATATTAAAATAATGGGACTGCACGATGCATGTAAAGATAAAAGAGTACAGCACTTCCTTTCACCCTGGCAGATAGCATCTATTGATATCCTGACGCCTGCATACCCCCACCAACGAACGAATCATACATAAGAACATAAGAACAAAGGCAACTACAGAAGGCCTATTGGCCCATACGAGGCAGCTCCTATTTATAACCACCCAATCCCACTCATATACATGTCCAACCCATGCTTGAAACAATCGAGGGACCCCACCTCCACAATGTTACGCGGCAATTGGTTCCACAATTGCACAAGACTCAAGTTCATCTTCCTGCTAAATTAAGCCCTCTAGTACACATTCACGATATACAAACTAAAAACAACATCACATAGACCATATACTCTGACGGATCACTTTATACTGCTACAGGGAGGGCAGGAGGTGCTGTTATTGTCCATCAGTCTGATGGGAACACATTTGTCAATGATATAAGAGGTAGTAACTGGGTATCCACCCTGCAAGTTGAACTGGTAGCACTCAACATTATTGACAACACTGAAGTAGACAGCTTAATTATTTCAGACTCGTTTTCCTCAATACTAGCAAGGTATATAGTTTACAATCAAATGATAACGTGCTTGTCTCCGAAGCCAGACATATATATATATATATGCTTATATATATATATATATATATATATATATATATATATATATATATATATATATATATATATATATATATTGTGGAGCCCCTGTTACATTAGCCTGCAGGAACATCATAAAGTTGACACCCTTGCTAAGACTGCAGTAAATAAAGACAATGTTGAACAGAATCTTGAGTTATCAAGTAGGCCCCTTAAGTGTCATTAAAAAGAGAACTCTAAGGTAAATTTGAAAATAGCAGAACAGTGCAAACCGGAATAAGCTTGTACATTGTTTATCACAATGAAATGTGTCAAGGAAAACATGTGTATGTAGCAAGTAACAACATCAGCAGACTAGCAGATGTTGTCACAGCTTGTATAAGACTTGGCTACAGGTATCTTTGGCAGTTGGGTTTGTATAAGCATATAGATGAAGTAAAGTTCAGAGTGTGAACAGTGATAAGGACACACTCTCAAACATTATATCTTGGACTGTAATAAAACTGAGCCATTTAGAGATAAATCTAATCTCACGTTGTATGAAATGGCAAACCATTTTAGTACTTAGGATAAAATTGCACTGTAGCCATGTTTCGTTTCCAGTTGATAAATGGCATATGAGATTAAGAAGCAAGTATTGTAGTTGAAGACTAATAATAATAAACAGCAGCTTTCCTATGACCCTGTAATATCTCCATAGCTAAAACATTTATGTATTTGCGAATAGACCTACCATAATGTATAATGATTAACTGTAAATACATAGCAATGGAAGTAGAACAACCCCTTTTACCAGCTGATATCATAATTATAAGATATGTAGGATAATGTAATTGTTAATGTAATAATCACCGTTGAGGTCTGATAAAGACCTTTTGAGTCTTCTGTAATCCTTTTTGCGCTACCGCTCACAGGATGAGTATGGGGTGAACAATAGGTTTACCCCCACCAGCGGTAACTATTACAAATCTCACCAATATAGACCAGGATATGGCAATACTGTCAGCAATTTGAGGCAGAAGAGGGATTAGTGGTGGTGTGAGGCAGGTGTAAAGTTAGTGGTGGTGTGAGGTAGGTGAAAAGTTAGTGGTGGTGTGAGGTGAAGAGTTAGTGGTGGTGTGAGGCAGGTGTAAAGTTAGTGGTGGTGTGAGGTAGGTGAAAAGTTAGTGGTGGTGTGAGGCAAGTGAAGAGTTAGTGGTGGTGAGTGGATGAGGAGATGAATCACAAAACAGTGGACCAGTGTCCTGCTAATATTGAATAATACCATGTTGTATATACACCAATAATACCATGTTGTATATATATACACACACAAGAGCATTCATATATACAGGTGAATTTATGAGTACATTTACAGGCATGAAGTGTTATTGCTTTGACTGTGCGTGCTTGCGTGAGCGTGCTCATGTATTCACCTATATGCACTCACTCTCCCACTGGTTGAAGGGTTCCAGCATTGACTCTTGAATTCAGCATTTCATGGACTGATGGTGACATATTTTTTGGATAAGTTTTATCTTTTTTTAAATCTGTATTGCCTATTCTCTCTATTTTGTCAAATAATCTGTTTTTATCATTCACCACTTATGTAACAACTGAGATTCTTTATATTCCTAGTCGGGTTCCATGAGCATATTGTATGGCGTGATCATGTCTCCTACATACACAGGATTTGTGCGGTACAGGAATAACAGCGGAAGTTTCAAAATCTTTATTTTATATTTTTTTAATTAAGTTTCTCCCAACCATTGTACGTGTTCTAAAGTTATTTTCAACAATTTCCCTGGAATACAACCCTATAATACAAAATATTACGGTGATTAATGCTAAGCTTACACGAGTGAATAGAACAACGGAACAACTCCCTCTCCGTTGTAAAATGAATGAATTAACCCCTTGGCTTCATGCTGACTTTCATATTAGAACAAATCTCTACATATCCAAGAATAATAGTGAAAAAGTTGTAATAAAAATATATGAATGCAGTAATATACCGTTAAAAGACTTTCCCGGGAGCTAATATCTGCTACTTTCCTTCCTGCATCTCGCAAGACGAAGGAGAAGAAAAACACGTGAGATGTCTCCAACTCGGGTCCCGTCAACCACAGCAAGAAAATGGGATCCAGGAGAGAAATTATCCGGAAGAGATTTACACAGCAATGACAGCCGGGCTCCCTCAGTGGAATTTTTTTTAATTGGATTTCTATAATTTTTGTAAACACATATTCTTGAATATATTAAAGATATTAGTTAATCAGTAACTTTAACCGTATTTGGCTTAGTACGTGTGTGACGTTGACAGTCTAGGTAATGTGATAACATAATTATGTGTACAAATCCACAAGAGCCGTGATGAGGGTTCGAACCTACGTCCGATAGGATCCCAGACGCGTCATAATCGACTGTGCCACGACACGGTAAAAGAATTGCAACCTGGAGTTGATCTGCCCTCACATAATTATGTGAGGGCAGATGAATATGTGACATCTGCCGTGTGACATAATTATGTAATCCAAGTTATTAACGTCTCTCGATTGTGTTAATCTAAGTTATTAAAACAGTCTCGTCGAATTCAGGGGTTTATACTATAACCCAATTGGTTTAGTAATCACCTTTACCAGCACGTGTGAAAGCTTCCCTATTAGTCTTGGATGCCTTTTACCAACACACTTTTCTCTTGATATTAGATCTCACTTGCTTTAAAATTCGGTGATATAAATATATGCGTCTACAGATAGCATCGGATTACTTGTTACCAAACACGCTTGTGTAAAAATTATTGTATGTCGTGAGGCTTTCCTGTTGATTAAACCTGTAAAAAATACCCACTTTTTAGCTCTCGTATCTCGACTTGAATTTGCTAGCTAGAATATATATCCTGTCCCCATAACACTCGCAAGACTGATGTTCGGTTTATATTTTTTCCTTCACCTCCCTGAATGACAAAAGAAAGTTGTACCTTTCATATCCATTATCAATTAATTCCCTGCCCAACCCGAGGCATTTTCTACACACTTTCCGTGTATAGTCTTCAGCCTAAGTTCATAATACTTCTGACATTCGTGTTGGTCTTTAGAGCTTCCTGTCAAATCTATTATACATTTGATGGCTCATATTCCTTCTAGTGTGACTGAATCATTTTCTCTCATACACATACTCAGTGAAAATATAATGATGATATATCTAAGAAAATCTATGGAGGAGGACGTCGGAATTGAACGAGAAGCCTGGGTTACCCCAGACACGCACCTTAAACCCCTGGACCATGATATGCTGCAGGTTACACAACTTGGAATCTGCCCGAACCCATAAGGAATCAGGAGGCACTGAGCCGAGAGTCAATTCAGGTTTTACATTCAACTTGTACACTCTCTGGTGTAGGGAACAGAGTTCACCATAAACGCTCCCGCGATCCTATTTCTTGCTCCTAAACTTTTATTCAAGTGTAAGATATTTCATCGTACCCGTATTCTCTGAGAATGGGGGTTTGTCTCCACGTCATCACTTGTCGAATTTGAGCCCTTAGACATACTATTAATCTACGCACGTTTGGAACGCTGCTTCCGGAGTATGCCAGTGCAGACTGCCTATCACATGCCTCTGTATGACTAACCATCCTGTGTGATGGGGATTTTTTAGCATCACCTAGTTAGCT